CACACCCCCCCTCCCTTTTCCAAAAGCCTCCTTGTTCATCTGCTATCCTATTCTCACTTACTCTTAATTTTTAATAATAACTCTCCCTACACTTTACCGGTTACTCAAAAAACTACCCCCTATAATTTTTGCACTCTCTTTTTTCCCCTTTTGCCTTTATACAAAGGAACTATATGTCCTCCCAATCCCTGGTACCTTCCCCTCTTCCATAAAAAATTCCCCCAAACCCACCCCAAAAAACTTATCCACACCTGCTTTAACTTTCTATCTTTATCCCATCAATCCCGGCTCCCTTCCCCCCTTTCTTTTTACCTATGCCTCACGAACTTCCCCCACATACAACGGCTCTTCCCACTCACAAGATGTTATTCCCCCTTCCCCTATACACGAAATCACAGTTCCCTATCTTCATCAACATTTAAACAACCCCTAAATATTCCCCCCATCTTCCCAATCCCTTTAAAACTCTCCTTTTTAAAAAACCTCCTCCCCTATTTTAATGACAAATCCATTTGTCAGTTAAGGAAGCCCTTTTTATAATAACAAAATAATATACAGAAAATTGAGTGAATTATAAAAAAAAGAAGCACAAAACCCCAAAGGGGGTATACAGTGCGTAGGGAGGGTTGTGAAAAGGAGGAAAGTGAAAAAGTTAGGGGGAGGAGGGGGCAGGAGCTGCTTGTTCATTGCCCCAAACATCTGTGCCCGGGCCCCAGCAATAAATACTTTATTTTTTATTATATTCAAAAAAAAGCCAAGCCAAAAGGGCTATACAGCGCTGCGGGTGGGGAAGGGAAAGAAGGGGAATTGGATGGCAGAAGGGAGGGGGGTGAAGCGGTTCAGAAAACGGGGGGGGCAGGGGATGTACGGGGGTAGAGGGTAGAAGAGTTAAAGAAAAAGGGGAAAAAGTATCAGAATTTGTGAAGTAAGTCGTCTTGTCAAAAGTCAATGAGAGAGTCCGGATAAAAGGTGGGTCCTCAGCGAGGAAGGGAAAGGTTTAAGAGAGAGCAGGGGGCGAAGACAGCGAGGAAAATTCTGCTTTGCTCGTTGAAAAAAGTGGGAGCCCAAAAGAATGTGGCTGACTGTTAATGGGTTGGGCAATTCTCACAGAGAGGAGAAGGCTCTCCATGAGATATCCATGAGTAGCGAGTATGGCCAATGCAAAGCGGGAGAGAGTAGTCTCCCAACCCGACATGGTGATAAAAGGGGCCCAGTAACCTTTAAGTGGACCCCGGTTAACGTTTTTAATCCGTGAAAGAGGGCTCATCGTTATGCGAAATAATCGTTATGCGAATAAATTTTCCCCTAAGAAATAAGGGAAAATCAAATTAATCCGTGCAAGCCCCAAAAAAGTATGAAAATTTTTTTTTTTACCACATGAAATGTTTTTTAATCACACAAACTGAAAAAGGGCATCACAATTAAATGACACTTACTTTTATAAAGTTTGGTGATGATTGAGGGGATGGGGGAGGGGGGGGCATTATCTTTATGTTTAGAAGGGGAACCCCCTTCCATTCGACTTGAGGTAGAAGCCCTTTTTCCCGGGGTTTACTTCCCTTTTTTTTATGCCACTGGACCAGCTTGAGAGCACTCCCTCTGTGCAAAAACAAATCTGCCCATAGAGCTCTGTACCCCCGTTCCTTTACGATTTGTCTAAAAGGGCCAAACATTGTCATTGAAATAGTCCCAGCACGGCTTGAAACGCTGTGTCAGGGTGATTTTATCTTAAAGGTTTGCAGTTAACCCACTGTGCACCTTTTCCTTAATCTTTGAAGTAGGCACAATGGATTCCACATGGCATAGGTTCTCAGGGTTCCCCCAAACCCTTAAAAATTTTCTTAATTTCCATAAAATTCTCCCCTTTTTCCACGGGTTGGCCTAGAAGCTTTCTTGGGGCCCTGGTCACTTATTTTCCAAACAGCCCCAAAAAACACTGTATAATCAAAATATTCAAGGGGTATGCTTGGTGTTCCCCGCGGAGGCTGGCTGGTAAAAAATGGGACGGCCGGCACATGTGGGGCGGGCTGGGGCACTTGGAGCGTCTCGGCGAAAATCGGTAAGCGGGTTTTAATCGGTATGCGCGGGCAAAAATTTTTGCAAAAAAGTAATCGGTATGGGGAAAAATCGTATGTGATGCCTCGTTATGCGGGGGTCCACTGTACCGGTTTAATAAATGGTTTGTTGCCGGCTTGTAGACCAACGTTGTTCCAAACGGGTGTGAAGGGGGGAAAAAAAGAATTACAGCAAATGTCGTACAGGGAATCCCTCTATAAAAAAATGGTAGGTCTGTCTGTGACCGGCAGAGTGTCTCCCTGTTCTTCCCCTGTCGTCAACATGACTAGGGACCAAAAAAAAAAACATATCTTTATGCTTAGTAAATGCGGCGTACCCAATTTGGTACGGGGGACTAAGGGGTGAGGTGTATCAAATTTTTTTTGCCGTAAAGCAAAAGGGGAGTCTGAGAAAACCCACAAAGAGGACCAGGCATGATGCCAATGGGGTTGTGCTGAAAGGTGGCATATTTCAGCAGTAAAAAATATAGCTAAAGTAGAAAATGCCCTTGTACGACGCTGCCCGGAAACCTGCTGGAACCCTACGCCGTCAGAAGTTTTGGCCTCTGTGTACAAGAATGGCTGAGAATGAGGGAAAAGTGGTCAGAAAAAGAGAGGGGGAAAGGGGCCCGTAGCAGTTGGGTTTTCGAGAAAGGGGAAGGGGAAAAAGAAAGACTCGAACAGCTGGAATTCCCAGGGGGGTGGGAAAGTGAGATGTACTGTAATAGAAAGGGGGTGTTGAA